GTACCTTGAGGTATGTAGAAAAACCATATAAAGCTGTGTCTATGTCGGAATCATCAAGTCTCTCCAAATCAAATCAGAGGCTTCCGATTCGATTCGGAGAGATTAATGAGTCTCCTGATTCTATTCGTATTTGGAGATTCAGCCGCTGAATCAGCTACCAAAGCTTTGCACAGTCCTAATGGACAGCTTCTTAAGAGCCTTGTTGAAATGTAAATCTGAAAGCTGTACAAATATTTAAAGTGCAAACAAGTACTGTGTTCTGTAATGTTGTGATACATCAGAGAACTAGTAGAAAAATTTCTCCAAGGAACAGCACACAACGCAGTGTGTGGTGAGTAGGTGTATGTGTAGCTCTTGGATGTACTTGATATACCCTTTATATGAGGCTTCCACTCTCAGCCAGGGTAGATTAAGAAAGAATATTTGGCATCCACACCCCTTGTTTCTTTAAAGATTAAATGAATGAATCATCAAGTTATTAATATTAATCTTTCCATTATGAAAAAAGAGGAAATGGTTTGTAGCTATTTTAGAGAGCCCAGAATAATAATTTTCCAGCAAATAAAATGTAACACAAGTGCTACAGCAGCTGATGGTTACTGGAAGGATACATGGCCTTGAGAAAAACTCTTGGCGCTCTCAGTTATCAAGTCTGAGACCATGTGTTACTCTGTTAGGTTAAGAAATTATTTGTAAATTGTATTAGTCATTAGCTTGCAGTTTCATCTCCATTATTCACAAATATCCCCTATTGTTGTATCTAATTCAAGGAAGTATTATATATGTCTTTGCATATCCAGACTCCTATGCAAAGGCATATCAAAAAAATAGTGCAGGAAATAATATTACCAGTTCCTTCATTCAACAGAAAACACAAAGGGTTCCAGGTAATGAGGCAGGTAACACAATGCTTCACTACCCCAGATATCTGATATACCATAGTCACCCATTTTTTTCTCGTCTTTGGCTCAAATGTAAGGTAAAAGTTGTGGCTCCCACTAATGTTTGAATTTTGCTTTGGCTCTGCATGATGGTTTGTTTACTAATGGCACAAGTATGTGTGTTGCAGTGGGAACCAGAAGATGGCTTTCCTACTTCTCGTAACAGAAACATCGGAGAAGAAATGCTTTATGATAACGCAGGCCTGTACGATAACTTGCCGTCTCCGAAAATCTTTGCACGCTATCCACCAGCTGACAGAAAAGCCAATAGGTTATCTACTGACAAACTATCCTCTAACCATTACAAATACCCTGTTTCATCCAGTCTGTCTTCTGCTCAGTCTATCACTAACACCTCTGCTGTGGGGAGGGGATCTGTCTCTCAGGTACTGCAATGTTTAATACCATGGCAAAGCTTTATATTCTGGTTCTGTTTACTTGTTGCATGGGTTATTTATCTTAAGCTATTTCAGTGCTCTGGTTTTATCACTAGACTACTTGCACTTGAATGGGCTCACTATAAGTAAAAAAAGCTTCACCTAGACTGCACATTCTGAGGTGGAGGTATTGTCTTCTCTTCTCTCTCTAATTGTTTGCCTGGCGGGTGCTTTCCATGTTCGAGCCATCACAGTAAACAAAACCGTACATGTATGACAATTTTCTCGTGACAAAAACACATTTCCCACCAGAGGTTTCAGCATTGTTTGCCACTGTCACAGAAGATACAGCATTTTTCCCCTGGCCATTATAACACAGGAAAAAATGTATTTTATACATGGGATGACAACTAAAAAATAAAAGCCCGTGTCCTCAAAGCTGGAGTATGAACCAGGTTTTTTAAGTGGTGTATAAAGTATGTATACTTGCATGTATAAAATGACGCTTATCCACACACATTCTTCCCCTATAGCTGTGAGTTAAAAGTTTGTACATACGAAAGTTCCGTGTACAAATTTCTCTGCCCCATCTTTTGAAGATTTGGACCTAGTTTACTTGTTACTAGATAAACTGAAATACATTTTAAGTGCTATATTATTTACTATGACTATAAACGGTAACTATATTTAACTAGATCTACTGCTACTTTCTTCTGTTCTCTGAGTCTCTCAAAAATAAATAAATAAATAAAAGAACAAAAGAAACAAAAAAAACCCCAGAGAAGTTATAAGACCTAAACCTCAAATGGTCATGTTATCAAATATGAATCCCTTGCAACGGACAATGGCATACAACTCCCGGCCTAATTTAAAGGGAATGTTTACATTAAGATAGCCTTTTACTTGTTTGATGCACCTGAAATGTTATGTTAGACACCTGATTATGTGTGGCTTAGTTTTATGAAATCTCTAAACCTATTTCCAGCTGCCTATAATATATATATATATATATATATATATATATATATAAAATGTGCGTCACAATCAGAGGTGGATCTTAGTAATACACTTCAGGAATTTGGATTAATGTTTATCTGTTCCTGGATTAAATAGAGTGTAATAATAGTAGATTGCTCTTCACTGCCATAATAAAGTTCATACTTTATTACTGACATATTTAAAAAATGCAGAATATGTGCTTCAAGGAGCTGCCACATCATATGTTCTCTGATTTCTCCTTTTTTCTATCCCACATGGTTGACTTCCCAGAGACAAGCAACAGAGCATTTTCAGCAAAGATCTGTGGCTCTGAAACTTGTTTCCTTTGGTAATCAGTGTGAGCCAGCCACTTACAGGGTGCAGTGCAAACACCCGCTCAGCTGTGCCTTTTTGCAATGAGTGGACTTTGAAAGTCAGTTGGTAAAGGTGCCATGGAAAAATCAGTCCATTAATTCCTCAGGGATAAAATTAAGAGTCTGTATTAAATATATAATTTTGAAATAACTCCCAAATACCAGGGTAATACAATTTTTATGTAGTATATGCAATAAAGATTACATAATATATAAGAAACAGAGTGGAAAATTGCATTCTGCTTGTCACTGACCAAGACTGATGGCTTTACAACTTCTTGTGATAAGTATAAGATTAACTGGTGTTAATGCTATATTTCCAAAGAGCTCTCTCTATATAAAATTGTCCTAAAGTAGCAGTTCTCTGCATCAAGCATGCTTCTTACAATAATATGCATCAAAGTTTTGAATGATTCAGAAAATGTGATGCCACCACAGTTGGGAGAAGAGAGACAGAGAGCCAGCACTTGTATTATAAATCCTACTGTTTTGCCAGTCTTGGATCTTACTGAATAGGTAGTTATCAATAATGAAGTCTCTAGGGGAAACACTGTCTCCAGCAGAATCAATTAAGCATGTGGACAACTGTCTGTAAGGCAAGGAGCTTTCAATAACACTTTCAGAGGTTGTCCTTGATTAAACAGAGTGATTGTGGCATTGACAGAACAACAGTAGCTACCATTGCATCCTTTTTTTTGTTTGTTTTCAAACAGTTCAAAAGCAAGAAACCCCCTGCAACTGCAAATGGTATCACAGGAAAAGGGAGAGTTTTAAACAACCAACCAAAGAAATCTGAATTAGTTTCATGTGTGAAACGTACAGCATCTAGTAAGTACATTTCTTTATTATTGTACTTTGTTAATTTAGGGCCTGAACACCCACTGTGTTTACACTACTGTGATATATATCAGTCTTTTACAGTGACACAAATGACATGGATCCAGAACAGACATATGTACATCTGTTTTAGGGTTGTGTAAATCACAGGCAATTATTACAATGTCCATTTTATGTTGGGGATAGGTAATATACTGCCTTGAAAAAGTGGCTACCTCAGCTACAGAGAGAAAGAACAGACACTAGTGCAGTGGTGGAGTGTCAAAAATTAAACACCGTACCCTCCCCAAATGACACTCCAGTCCCCTTCTGCCCTATCTGCCACTCTGCTTTCTGCTCCCTGCCTTGTGTACCCTACCGGATCTGCTGCTGTGCTCTCTACTCTCTACCCTGTGCTTCCTGCCTGATCTGTTGTTCTTCTTACTGCTCTCTGCTACTGCACTGTCTATCCCCTCTCCCATCTGCCATGTATCCCACACAGGCTGCCCATACCATGTGACACCCATGCCACAAGTTGTCTATCCCTGCACTAGCATAATTTATACCAGTTCAGATTTACCCCTGATTTTTCTTAGTATATTTCTACGCCAGCTTCAAATAAGTTATGGTAGTGTAGGGCTGTATATTGTATGTCTGCTCCGTTTCTTACTAGTATAAAGGCCAGTTACTCTGGTGTAAACACATTTGTCTAGGTTTTCAGACGCTAGGATGCATGACGTACCTTTTAATCTAATAAGCAAGTAAAACACCAGCATAGTTCTTCTATCAATTTCTTGAAAATCAAATAAGACTTAAGACTTCACTGTGGTTTGAATTAAACCCGAGCAACCAAGTACCTCTACTGAAGAACATGTACAAAGGTTTAAAATCAAATCGTAGTTCTGCTCTCTGGTTATCGTTCTGTTAAAATGTGCATTTATAAGCTGAACACAGCTTTGTGCTTGGAGCTGTATAAATACTTAAGTGCATATTATCCCACCCTTGAGGATTTTTAGAACAGAACAGAATTCTGTTGTTTTTGTATACCTAAATGTCAGTTTTCCAGTCACGTAAGTGCCTTTTTGCCACTTACAAAAAGTTTGAGATTCTATTACCCTGTAATGTGAAAATATAAGGAAGCATGCATGTGTGTGCATGTACTGCCCATACACAGTATGCTATGTACTGAACTACCAGGTCTATAGCCATTTATGAACATCCACTGTGAAAACACAAGTCACAAAATTGGAGCCATAAAGTAATGCATGACTAATGGATGTTAGATGCAGAGGAGGTCTTCTGCTTCCTGGACAAGTACTGTAATCACTGTTACTGGGGCTAAAACATGGCACTGTCCTCCTGTTCATTTTTCTGGGACTTACACTCAGGCATCTGTTTACATAGCCACATACCTGCCCCACCAGTGCATCAACTGCGGGGCACATTCAGTATATGCACATATGCAGCTGGGTAAATTCCATTAGGTACACAACACGAAACAGAATCCTGCCCATAGCTCATTAGTAGCTTATTGGTGACTGGCATACATTTTTGAAGGGGTAGTTGGAATCCTGTAGAAATAAATTTTGAAAGGTAATTTATATTTCGTTCATTATTTATATGGTAAAACTTAATTTACATAGTGTCAATTATACAGTACCATCCATTCAGAAGCTCCTAAAATCTAAGAGAATATTTAAACAGTTTTTGTGGGTCCCTCCAACCAAAAATTGAAATTGGATCAAAAATGAACATTTCCTATTAACACAAAAAATGAATGCATCTGGCATCTTCCTCTTTTGTGTGCATGTGTTCTATATGTTTCTAAACATATGTTTGCCCTTCTGTTCCTTTTACCTTCTTAAATTGGTGAAAATGGATATGAAGATTTTTGAGTACATGTTTTAAAATAGTAGGTAGTTTTTTAAAAGTTAATAGCGAGGCTAGGAAATCAATGTGTAAACAATATTTGACACTAAAATCCAGTTTTCTCAGACCTAAAGTATTAGCATTCATCCCATTGCCCATGCACTTTCTTCTGGAATGCTGTGACTTTTTTTTATTAACTTTGGTGACATCTAATGGTGGCCAAAGTAAGTAATAACTTTGTTTTGCCCTGAAATGAGCTATCTAAAAAGCTGATATGATATTCCCTAAGGAAAAACATATGTAGATACTTGTCAACCAGGGAGATTGTAGAATATATCACTAGCCAAGGAGGATGTCCCATGGAAACACGTGACCCTGAGGACAATACAGAGGAGGAGATTTGCCAGCTGAAGAGAAATAGAATTCAAGAATAGGTTTTGCTGCACTGTAGTATAAAGGAAAGATATAGTCAGACAAGATGGGGTGGTTGAGAAGGAGAGCAACTGGTCCCAAAGTAAGAGGAAAGGTGATTGAGAAAGCCAAGGACCAGAGGGCCCTGACAGAAGTGACATTTGCCACATGATTGCCCCCTGGAAAGTGCTTTACAGCTGTCCCCTGATAGAAGTTCATAGCTGCAGAGCACTTTAAAAGTGTCTGATTGCATGACAAATTAACCCTCATGTAATGAGGTTTCAGATGAAAGCATTGCAAAGCAGAGCACCTTCATTAACTTCTGTCTGTCCCTGCACCAATCGGGACTGGGCTGATGCAGCACAGCACTGAAGCTGGGAGGGGAGAGGGTGCGGCTAGGGGAGAGAGGTTGCTGACAGGCAGCTCCTCCTGAATTGGCTCCTAAGTGGAGCTCGATTTTTCCCTGAACGTCCCCCACCCAACAGCAATTATCTGTTGGGGGGGGGGGGGGGGG